AATATACATATACAGTGTATACTGTACATATACAATACAATGTATACTATCATATTAGTATGTATTCTTAGCTGGATATGTGGTGCATATCTGTAATTCCAGCTATTCAGGAGATGAAGGTAGCAGGATTGAGAATTTAAGGCAAGCCCTGGCAAAGGTAATGTGAGCCCAGTCTGAAAAGCAAAGTACAAATATAAATGGGCTTGGGCATGTGGCTCAAGTGTTAGTACCGTTGCCTAAGACCTATGAACAAGATACTGGGTTCATTCCTCAGTACCATAATAAATAAATATATTATTCACATGATTCTTCAATATTATATAAAATTTATTTTTCATCCTGTTCAGTATGACAGTAATTTTTAACTATTATTACTGGATTTTAAATAATTTTGCAATGCACATTGGTCTTATAGTTTTGTTTTTTCCTTCATTCCTGGGGTTTGAACTTAGGGCCTTAAATTGGCTAGACAGACACTATACTGCTGAATCCTTTTAGTCTTATTGAGTAGCATCCAAAATTAAAGTGTTAAATTGACTTAGCTGTTTCTTTAAATAAATTAATTTGTGGGTTCCATTCATCTTACCAAGATCTAAGAATGTCTATAGTCCAGAATTGAGCTAAGTGTTGTCCAGAAGTATATAAGCATTATAGAGCAAAGGATAAAGCAAAACTTATATACTGATAGGAAATACTGTTAGCTATTTAAGCAAACACTTTATTTTGATAACTAGACACTAAAGAACTTTAATATATTCAATTTAAGCACAAAAATCTAGTAGCCTCATGTGTGTGTTCATGTTTGTTGGGTATATTGCAATGCAGACTGTGACAGAAGTACATCTACCTGTGTTATAGTTGTATGACATAGCCACTAAAGAATATGGACACAGGGTGTGGACCTAGTTTACTGGAAATTGGTGTTTTGACTCTAAGTCTAAAGACAAAAGAAGGAACAAGCACACTGCACTCAGGTTGATAAATTACTCATAGTCATGGGCTCTGAGCTAATGATTCTCAGACTGCTTTTTGTGTATATAGGTTAACTGTGCTTGTGAAACAGAGCTAAGTGATTGTGCATGATGAGAGGAAAGTCACAGATCAGCTGGAATGAACCATAGAGTCAGGGACCTCAGCATGACTGTGCATACAGAATTCCTTATAGAGAAGTTAGTGTGTATATATGGGTTTACATGGTTAGTATATACACAGTTATTTTATAGATCTACCCACTGAGAATGCTAAACAGTATTGGCAAAAAGCACATTCAGATCTTGGCTCGTAAGTGCCATTCTCCAGTAACAGTAATCCAGGACTCCTTGGAGAAATGGATAATTATAGGTTGGGAGCATCTTGCATTGTGAGAAAATAAGGAAGTGCTCAAAAAACAAAAGGCAAGGGCATGCTGAAAGGACAGTAGAGCCAACCTCAAGGAGATCATTATAGCCAAAGCTGGACAATTTGAGCAACAGAAGAAATAGTGTGGTATTGCATAGTAGTCCAAAATATATACATAAATTAATATGTAGACTATATATAATATATAGTCATACAAGAAGAAGAGACCTCATCCTTATAGAAAAATTTCACTTACTTTATGTAGATACTTTACCCTTCAGGATCTGGGGCTTAAACTACTCCTTCCTCCCAGCTTCTTGAGTGTAGGTAGAATTTTGTGACTTAGTTCTAAAGGCTAGTCTTCAAAAGAGAGGAAAAAGTACATTTACAGGGGAGCAACCTGGCAAATCATACCTTAGCTGAGCACTCAGTTAATTGGTTTGCAGCATATCACATCGATAGCATGCACTCTTAATATGATGTGTTTTCCTCTCAAACCTATAATCCCAGTATGACCATTAAAAACAAAGCAAAAAAAACCCAAAAACAAATCAGACCAGTTTGCATGGAGGGGCAGTCTACAAAATACTGGACCAGGAGTCTTTCAGACTGTCTAGGTCACTAGGGCACAGATGGCTTACACCTATAATTCTGGTTACTCAAGAGGCTGAGATGCTGAAGATTATAGTATGAAGTCAGCTAGTGCAGATAAGTCCTTAAGATTCTAGCTCCAAAATAACCATTGAAAAGCAGGGCTAGAGGCATGGCTCAAGTAGTAGAGTGTTTGCCAAGTAAGCTGGCTGAGCAAGCTGAGTGACCCTGAGGCCGTGAGTTCAGAAATCAGTAAACAAGGACTTAGAAACATAGGGCATAGAAAAAGGACATTAGTGGAAAACCAGTGAAATTCAAATGAAGTCTAGACTTTTTAAAGGCACTGAAACACCCTTCCCTAATGTTTTATTATGAAAATATTCAAACATAGGGAAAAAGTAAAAAGAAATCAAAATTGGAAAAAAATCTATCATTTAGACTCAACAATCATGTTTTTGGCACCTTTTCTTTACTCCATTATTTTCCCATCAATCGATCTTATTTTGAAAGTAAGTTTTAAGCACTAGTACACATGCCCACCCCCTCCCAATCCAAACCAAGACAACCCTGTTTGAAAGTAGTTTTTACATTCACTGCCAAGGTTGTTTGTCTAGCACCTACCAGACACAATGTAGTTGTCTGTGTAGTTGTCTATGGTATGTGGAGGAAGATGGACAGTTGGAGAAGATACAGGTTGTAGTTGCACTTTCCAGGGTGATCACATTCCAGTGGTTAGGTGTGCATGCTTGGCTGTTGTGGATCTCTATATGTGGGTGCTGGATGTTCATTGTGGGGTCTCTGAGTGCTGATTTCCTGGCATTTGGGAAGTATGAGGATGCTGTTGGGATGGGGAATCAGGTCTGTGACGGCCTTTATAGTTGGGATGAGTTGCATTAGAGCATTTATCTAGGGAGAGCCTCAAACCTTCTTCCCTTCCCTGGGGTCCCCTGAGAAAATAGAAAGTGGGAAAAGGGAGTTTTTAGCTATGGAAGGGGTAGGAAGCCTAATCAGTGAATATCAGAAAAGAGTGTAATTATGCAAAAGGACTGCAGTCACTCCCTGAAGGCCACAGACTTGGGGTTTTGCCCAGAGGAGGACCTTTCAGCTGCTAACAGTACCCTTATTCATTTTGGGTGCATAATGATTTTAAAACCAATCAGGAACCAAAGCCTGAGGCTGGAGACAAACACAAATATCTTGTTGACTGAGCAAACATCTAGATTCGTCAGATAGGAAGTTGCAGAGGAAGGTCAGAGTGATGTAATGGTGTGCACTAGCTTTCATCCTTAAACAGATGGGCCCCGAGGTACCATCTGCAGCTCTCTGGCCCTTTGAGATCACTTCCTACAAATGAAATTGTCAAAAGTTAGTATCAAGAAATTCATGTGATAACCATACCAGAAGTAAAGCTAGACAAAGGAAGGAAATTTCCATTGGAGTTACCTGCTTCCTTTTCCTCCTCTGTTTTATAAATAGACCTGCCATTTATCATTTTGGTCATCTTTCTTGTTTAGCACGTGAATATTGTTGTTTCCCCCAAATAGCCATCCAAAATAAACTTCCCTTCTTTTCTTAGGCCTGGACAACTGCATTTATCCCTACCTAAGCCAGTGTCAGCTGGGCATTTTTAATAAGCTGTCTTCCTATTTTGGGTTTTCTGTTTTGGTGGAGGAAGAGGCAGTGGTTTTGTTTCTGGCCCTTTCTTGCATCAAAGGAGTGTTTGTTCTGGGCAGGGGATATTTCCCAGTCTTCATCACAGGAAGAAAATATAAGTGATGGGTTATGAGTCTTAACTGATAATTTTTTTGAGTTTTTTTTTTGTTGTTGTTGTTGTTGGTCGTGGGGCTTGAACTCTGGGCCTGAGCACTGTCCCTCAGCTCTTCAGCTCAGGGCTAGCACTCTACCACTTGAGCTATAGTGCCACTTCCGGTTTTTTGGTCATTTATTGGAGATAAGACTTTCATGGACTTTCCTGCCCAGGCTGGCTTTGAACTGTGATTCTCAGATCTCAGCCTCCTGAGTAGCTAGGATTACTGGTGTGAACTACCAGTCCCAGCTATTAATTGATATTTTTAATAACACTTCCTAGCAGAAAGCAGGTCTGCTATACTCTCACTCTATGTGTTCAACATTTATTATATATTGATGTGGCAGACATTGGAGAATCACGGTGGGTGATATAACCTCTATTCTTCAGTCAGAGAGACAAAGGAAATAGTGGAGTAAAGTTGATGGAGGCCATGAGATTCAGAGAGGAGGGCAGGCTTCCTGGTGGAGGTGATTATTTTTTTTAAGATGGGGGTAGTAGAAGTTGATACCAGGAGCTGGTAGACATGGGTTGAAAATGGTGTGGTGTGCCTGGTTAACTGTGGAATGGGTTGCATGGTAAGGAGCCAGAAAAGGATCCTTGGAAAAGATGGTCTGCTGGATCAAGACTGAAAAGAAGGATGCGTATTGAACAGCTGTTGAAGGAATGGGCAGGACCTTTGATTTTAGGCTATGAGAGCCTTTCTGGGTCTGAGAATTCCCATGCCTGGCTTCTCTTTGTGCAGTGATGCAACCCCCTCTGAGCAGTGGGCTTGGAGTATAGATGAGAAGAAGCTGAGTCCTGATGCTTATTTCCATAGTATGATCAAGCAAGAGGCCTGCAGAATACTGTGAGGGCTGACAGTGGGGTAGGTGGGATGATTAACTGTAGGATCCACAGTACCAGAGAATGAAGAAGACACACTCAAGGACAGAGGAAGGTCTTGGGGAGAGGAGGGATATGAGGGTTGGGGGGGGACCAGTGATTGTGAGCATGGAAGGACGCTACTGACTATGAGATATGCCTGGGAACGAGCTGGACTGAGGAGCCTAAGTGGGGGTGCAAGTATATCATTAATGGTGAATGGTATATGAATCACCTGGGCTGTGAGTGGTTAAAAAATGGCCACATAAATAGTTATCCTCATTACAGATGAAGCAACCCAAGGCCCGGAAAGGGCACGAAATTGCTGCAGGTTACACTATAAAGAAAAGATGGAGTTGAGATTCTAATCCAAGTTATCACTGTGTTTTTGTTTCTTTAGGAGCTGACTCTTGGTGGGTCAAAAACATCCCTCAGGAGAAAGGACAGAAGAGAACATTGTAATCCAAGGACCTTCTCTTTTCTTGGTGAATGAGAAATCACTAGAAATAGGTAGGTGTGTACCGAGAATTGGGGTAGAGGGTAATATGACTGTGAATTGTGACGCCCCAAAGAAGGAGGAGTTTCACGTTTGGTTAGAAGAGACAGAGGCTGGCACTGCCCCTTCTCTGCCTGTCTGGAGCTGTACCTGAGCCAATGCCTCAGGTAGAGTGGCTGTCTAGTGAGGGGAGGGAGTTGTGCTCAATGGTAAAGTTGCTATGGATGGGGAGGGAGGGGGAAGAGGAATAAGTTCTGTAGATTGGTGGTGATATTTGCAAAACAAAATGAATGTGCTTCATGCCACTGAACTAACTGTATTTTCCAAAATAGTAACTTTATTATGTAATATGTAATATCTGTTTTACCATAGTAAAAAAAGATGGGGGATAGAGGGAATGATAATCACTATCATTAAAAAAAAAACCTTTTTCTGGTACAAAATGGGCACTTATTAAGTATTTGAGTGAATGCTAGGGATTTTGCTAAGTGCTTTCCCTGTATTTTCACTTTAATCCTTACTTTCAGAGATGAGGTAAGCCCTGCAGTACAGATGAAGGGTCTCAGGTTTAAAGAGATTTAGGCAACCTGCCCAAAGTCATTACATTGGGAAAATGGTGGAGGTTGGGTGCTGCCAGGTCCTACTGATTCCAGTAGGACCCACTTAGAGAACAATGCCAGAGTGTAAGTGGTGGAAGCGGGGGGCTGGACTTTACAGAGAGGCATGAGGGACCAGTGTTGGGGAGTCGAAACCATCTACAGACAGGTTTGACAGAACGTTCTTCCCAGACTGCAACCAGTAGCTGGAGGGACTAAAGGAATGGAAAGTGCTGAGTGGCTCAACCCAACCCATTCTCTACTTCTCATCCTCTTTCTGAGTGCTCCTCCTTTCTGCCTGCCTACCTGCCCTGGGGGAGCCATGTACCCACTGAATCTAAAGACAGCAACCTGACACTGCATTGAGGTGCATGGATACAAGGGGAGGAGGCTTGAATAGTTTTCTAATGCTGACAGTGCAAATACCATGGGTGAGGTCAATTCATGGGCAACTACCTGGCTTTATACATGATCAGCCAACTGCAGGTATTTGCCACAGATTTTCTCTCTCTTTAGCAGAATGGTATGAGATAAAAGTATTAGGCAATGAATCATATTGGCCTCCTTGGGAAGATTTTTATGGCTGTAACCTGAAACTCCTAAGGTGTGTCCAGTCTTTGGTGGTGGCCAGTGAAATATGTGATACCCCCACCCCCTAGCTGCTGGTGGAGATTCTGATCTATCTTAGATATTTGGATTTAGTGAAGTGTTTGTGATGTGATCTAAGCTGTTTATAAGGGAAATGTTCTCTTGAGTTCCTGTTATCATTTTACTCCACATGTTTACTTTGGATTCAGTAGGATTCTTTTATTCTCCTGTTGGTGGTTTTAAATTCTGTGCTGAAAGGCAGGCTGTCTGAGCTGTGCTTTCTTAGAACTGTGGTGACCGCAGAGGGTGCAGTCTGTGATTATATAATAATTTTGAATGAATAAGAGATGTCTCATGACAGGTCTTGTAAGGGCAGCCTGGAAATGAACAGTATCATTGGGGATTAAGTTGCACTGCAGTTGAATTTTGCAGTTGTCAGGCAGTCTGCAGCACAGTACGTCAGCTGTAACCTCCAGGTGTAAATAGACCTTCATCAGCATCATTGAAAAAGTGCTGGGAGTATCCAGAGCACGGCAGGATGCTGTCCATCAAAAGTCATTTGCAGATCCTTGTCCCTGGCTCTACTCTTTAGCCCCAGAGACTGCTGGGATCCAGAGCGCTTTTCAACAAGGAAAGGTAGAGAGTGTATGTGTTCTCTGGTGCCACATTCTTACTGATCTTTTAGCTGTCCCCTTTTCTATCTTTTTTAATAGCAAAGTGACATTAAGGATCTAGGTAAAACTTGCTTTAAAAGAAGACTAAGACATCTTCATAGTTTTTTTTTTTAACTTTTAAAATTATTATGCCCTTTTTTTAAAGTTGGTTATGGGGCTTGAACTCCGGGCCTGGGCACTGTCTGTCCCTGAGCTCTTTTCCTCAAAGCTAGTGCTCTACCACTGAGCCACAGCTCCGCTTCCAGTTTTTGAGTAGCTAATTGGAAATAAGAGTCTCACAGGGACTTTTCTTCCTGAGCTGGCTTTAACTGTGATCCTTCTATCTCATCCTCCTGAGTAGCGAGGATTACAAACATGAGCTGCTGGCTCCTAGCTCAAATATCCTTTTAAAATAGTAACTGAGGGTTCATTTCCCTAACATCACCTTATCTGACCTTTTCTGCTTGACTCAGACATATACTAGATACTGCAAATAAGGGAAACCATGGGACCTATGTTTCTTAGATACGTATTCAAATGATTTTTTTCTTTCATGCAATTGTTTCTAACGCATTTATAAGATTATTTCTTTGTTGCTTTGTATGTCCCTCCCCCACAGTATAACCCCTGCTTTCACTGTATTTGATGTCGGTATAATTTGTGGAGGGGAAGGGGAAAAAACAAATCGTTTAAATAGGGATACAGGTGGACCCATTGCAACAATGAGATGAACAAGCGTTATGTCGAAAAATGAACTTTACAACTTTGGTGCGGGGGGGGGGGGAGTGGGGAGGATTGGGTGGTGGGGCGGGGGGGGGGGGCCGAGGATGGGAAGGGGAAACAAAGGAGGAGGCTACAATGCTTGATAAGAAATGTACTTATTATCTTGCCCAAGTAATTGTAACCCCTCTGTACAGTATTTTCACAATAAAAAATAAAAGTAACTGAGTCATAAATTAGTCCATTGTTTTGGGGAATAATAATGGCTAACTTTGGGAAGCTAGGGACTAGTGCTACCTAGTATGGAGAAGGCCCTGGTTTTGTTTCCTAACACTGCAAAAACAAAACAAACTAGCAAAAAACAAAACAAAACAAAAACCAAAAGGCTAACATGATAATAACTAGTTATCTTCTGTGCCTTCTTGGAATTACCTTGAAAGTAGGAATTTTGTCTTTATCATTATACATCTGAGATTAGCCAAGAGTGATGTGCTCTCATGCCAGAGCATGTAGTAAGCACTGCAGCAAAAGAACTTAATGTGGATAAGGATGCTAAGGCACATGGAGGTAATGCTGCCTAAGACAACATGGTCAATAACTGGATTCCTTGAAAATAGTGAAAGTCACAGAGAATAATGGTTTCCCTGTAGAACCTCCTCACTGAAAATAGGGGCCTTGGATTTTATAAAAGTAAGTTTTCTATTAATATATATTGATCTTTAGAACTATTTTTTATTAAAAAATATAATTTTATAATATTACAAGGATTAAATGATAAAGGACCTAAAACAGTACCTGTACTTTGTAAGTGCTTTGTGTTTGAAAATTTTCCTTGTTATTTATTTTTAAAGAATGTTCATTTGCTTACTAATTTTGAAGTAAAAACAATATATTCTTTAAAAATAATGTGTATACACACACACATATTCTCAAGAATCTATTCTCTCTCTCTCTTTTTTTTGTCAGTCATGGGGCCTGAACTCTGGGCCTGGGCGCTGTCCCTCAGCTTCTCAGCTCAAGGCTAGCACTCTACCACTTGAGCCACAGTGCCACTTCTGGCTTTTTCTGCTTATGTGGTACTGAGGAATCAAACTTAGGCTCTCATGCATGCAAGGCAAGCACTCTACCACTGAGCCACCATCCCAGCCTCAAGAATCTATTCTTAATGAGTATATCTGAATAAAGAATGTAATGTATATAACAGAACAACCAAGAGTGAAGACTGACATTTGGAATAAAAATGTTAAATTACTACCTAAACACTGCAGGAACATGTTAGGACCCAGACAACTAGGTATACTATTTTAGCTGGAATTGTCTATGTAATACCAAGAACATGTATTAGGGAAAAGAGTGACTGTATAGCCCAGTAGTCTTTGTTATTAGTTGCCCAGGCTGGTCTGGAACTACTAGTTTCAAGCAAACTTCCTACCTCAGCTTCCTGAGCTGGGACTACATGTATGTGCCACTGAGTAGATAGTCTGGAACTACTAAAACTTTTTTTTTTTTTTTTGGGTCTGGTCGTGGAGCCTGAACTCTGGGCCTGGGTGCTGTCCTTCAGCTCTTCAGCTCAAGGCTAGTGCTCTACTACTTGAGCCATAGTGCCACTTCCGGCTTTTTTCTTTTTGCTTAGGTGGTGCTGAGGAATCGAACCCGGGGCCTCATGTATGCAAGGCAAGCCCTCTACCACTGAGCCACCTTCCCAGCCCCTACTAAAACATTTTTTGATATTTCAATCTTGTCAGCAAAGTGTGTTTTTAGTCACATCTGCAACTGTTGTACATGTACATTACAGTCATTCACTTGTTTAGTAATAAGTTGTTTGCCTTATAAGATACCAAAAATAGAAGTGAAAGAATGAGACAAGCAAACATGATTGGACATTTCAATATTTCCTTTCTATACCCGTCGTGATTACCTCCCACCCTTTACTTTGAAACATCTGGTTTAGAAAGATAACTATCTTGAGGAAACGTGCAGCACTTTTTGAAGGACTTCTGAAGGGCTTGTAAATTCTTGGAGGGATCCACTATTGACAGAGAGGTCTTCTATCAAGCAGATTGAGTGTAGGATGAGTGCAGAGTAAACCAAACTCTCCCTGGCCATCTGTCTAAAAATGTTGCTGACCCATGAACCAAACTTCTAAGGATTAAAGTGTCCCCATTAGAATGGTTGGATTACTTCTTCAGAATTGATCGTGCTGGACTTCGTGGAATAGAGAGGGAAAACATAGTTCATGGACAAGACATGCAATTTTTTTTTTAAGTTTGAGAGTTATTTCTTATTTGAACGGCTAGGGGGCATGGCTCAAATGGGAGAACACTTGCCTAGCAGGCTCAAGGTTCAATCCTCAGCACCACAAATTAAAGAAAAAAAAAAAAGAAAGAAAGAAAAAGAAGATTAAAGTAGTGAATTCAACCTTGCTGAGTTTCAGTAGATAAAGGGTAGTAACAAGTG